CCAGTCAGCACCACCAAATCCTGCTCCTCATCTACTGCCTGCCATATAAGTGGAGAATGCCACCAAAAAGGTTTCCAAAATAGCGCAGTCACGATTATTTTAAGAAATGGAGTGAAACGTCGCATGCAAATAAAGAAATTGTTCTAGAACTTGTATTAAGAAAATAGCATGCAAAACGTTCAACCACTTCTGCTACTTGCTGCCTCGTAAACGTCGGTAAACTTTCACTAGACTCAACGGCACGACAACAGTAAATCTTACTTTTAACTTGCACACCCGTAGTAAGATGCACGCTTTAGCTGTATTAACGTGTTTGGTGTTAATAGAAAACAAGATGGTTCAGTTGTTTACCTTCTGTCCGGCGTGTGTGTTCATACATTTAACGCTATGCACAGTGATTTTGAGATGTAGTAAAAAATCTTACGTAAACTCGTAGATCGAAATGTAACATTCGTCTTCTTTTATCTGCTAACTTCATTACAGTATAATGCTATCACAATTCTATTTTATCCAATTTTGTCGACTTTCACGCGAGAGCCCTGTTATACGAGAATAGCTGTGAGAATTACAGAAAATGTCGAATTATTGACTAGGTCTATAAAATGGTGTTCCATTCTTTTGTTATCACCTGAATTCAGCGATAAGTAAGAATTTTTTGCAGTACGCCTACGTGTATGTGTTAATTAAAAGGTTAATGTGACCTTTTTGTTTACAGTGTTTATGAGATTAATAAGGGGTCGTGTGGCAGACCAATCTGATATACAGGTAGTTGCAAGTGTTAATTAAGTATGACAAGAAATAAACAATTTAAAAGTCCAGTTTATTTTTAGAAAAAATCCTGGGCGAAAAATCGGTATTTAGCCAGTTCAGGATATTTAAAAACATGTGTCAGAAAGAAACCAGAAATGTAAAACATAACAGTCGTCCTTATAATAGTATAAAGCATGCTATTTTTATCAAGATTAACAATTATGTACAGGTCCATATGAACAGGATCCTTCCATCCTTTTCTCTTCTCGGACTGGGACCTGTTCATATACGTTCTTGGCAGATGACCAGAAGTGGTTTGCCATTGCCTTCTTCTGTGTGTGAATGGAGTAATTGTTGGGATGCCACGGAGAAACCGGGGAAGCCCCCGGAGGAAAACTCCGTGTTGCCTAGACCACGGCCTTGCCCAACACAAGTTATAAATTCGGGTACCGCCGGGAATCGAACCCGAGACCCCAGGATTACAAGGCCAGCGTTCTAACCGCTAGACCACCGTGGCTCGTAAAGCATGCTATAGGCTACATTAAATGTTCTATTACGTGTAGCGACAGATGTCTGTAGGCCAGTAATAATACTGGTTTATCTGTTTTGCTGCTCTGCAACCTTGCGCTGCCCCGTCTCGAGTCCTGAGTTTAATGTTAATTTGGCAAGCGTGCTACTGTCTGTGGTCAAGGGCATAGCCTATTGATATACGTGGTTTTCCAAATTATTTATACACATTATAATACGGAATATTAACCTTGTGTCTGTACATATTTTTAGGCATTACATGACTTTTTGGGAGTTCATGTTGCTTTGCCAAATTGTTCCAGGGGTATATTTGATATGGACGACGTTTCGGGAATTGGTTTAGGTTTGGCAAATGTGTTACTGTGCGCTTGTTTGCAGCAGTACGCTATACTAATATTACATTGTCTATTGTCAGAGGTATATTTGATGTACACGACGTTACGGGAGTTGACTGTACTCCGTCTTCAGCCGATTGGTTGTCATTATACTGATTAATTTATTTTTGTTTTGATAATGGTGAGGGTTGGGACCTTTCGAGTACCAGCCTAGTACGCTAACGACCTTCGCTTGTTCCTGACCGTTGCGACGAATATTAAAATAAAACCACCGCAGTTATAATGGCAACAGCCCTCCAAAAGAACTCCCGAAGCGCATTGTAGGCCTATATCAAACACACCTCGGACAATGGAAATGTCTACCGTTACATTAGTGTAATGAGTCAGACATGGTGTCGTCGCAGAACGTTCAGAGAACCAGTAGACTGAAAGACAGCATATGCTTTTGTAGATTAACAAGCACACACTAGTTAATTCTCGTACAAAGTCGGTATATTACCAAACATTTTGACAGCGATTTTTTTGGACGAGATGTAACTGAATTTTCGTACTTTACTGGAAGTTATATTTCAAGTTAAGAATAACGTACTGGTGTGTTTTATACATAGCGGTAACATAATGTTGATTTTAAAG